TACATACGTATGTGGGCTTGGCTGGCACCTAAGCTGGCTCATTGTAAGGTCCAGCCATGTGTGGCTGCTTCTAGCACACTATTGGGTGGGGCAGGCCCCCAGAACGGCAGGCTGTAAGGTCTGGTAGCACACAACTACTGCTGTTTTGCTAGTAAGTGAGTCAGGCCTCCAGTGTGGCTGGGCACTAGGCCTGGGGTTGCACAATTTCTGTAGGCCCCTGCTGTGGCTGGCTGCATGGCCCTGTGGTACTTGCTTGCCTCAGATATGTTGGTGGGTGGGACAGGCTTCTGGTTAACCACCTGCATGGCACATGTCTGTTGCCAGCTCACTTTTGGGTGGGGCAGGCCTCTGGTATGAACTGGCTATGTGGCCTCTGGTGCACGGCTGACGGGCTGGGAAGGCACCAGGTGCAGCAGTGTGAAACCATTCCAGGCATTGGTAGGTGGGGCAGATCCACCCTATGGCTGTCTGTAAGGCCCAGTTGCACAAGTCAGTTGCAGGCTTGCTGGTGGGTTGGGCCAGTCAGTGGGCTGCTTGTTGCCTGGCTGCACTCGATTGCCTCAGGTGCTCTAGTGGGCCGGGCAGACCCCTGGGCTAACAGGCTAGAGGAAGGATTCCAATGGCATCTGCCAGCGTGTGTGTCAGCATGACCAAACTAGGTCACAATAATGGCTGCTGCCATTTCAGTCCCTGGGGTATGGGCCCAGCCACCTCCTGCTTTCCAGGGTGCGCTCCAAGCTTAGTAAGTGAGTCTCTTTTACCAAAAGACTATGCACTTCTCTATCTGGTGTTTTTGTAGTATTTTCCCAGTTGAGTGAGTGTGAGGGTGGGCCCTATAAGAGCAGGTTTTCCTTTCCCTGAAGTTCTATAGTTTTCCTGGGCGTATTTCTCATTGGTTTTCAAAGTCAGGTATTTTAGGATTTCATCTCTCTTGTGCTGAAACTAAGGGCTGGGGTGCCTAATGTGAAGCTTGACTTCCCCACTTCTCCAGGAAAATCTCTGTACCTTTGAGGTCACTCCTGATTGTGAAGTGCCACCATTAGCGTGTGTCTTTTTCCTCAGTAGGCCTGTATCTCTGCCTTTTCCACCCCTCTTTGTGCTATCCCTTGTTGTGGAGGTTCTTTGTATCCAGTTTTCAGATCTCTCTCAGAGGAAATTGTTCCACAGGTAGTTGTAGGTTTGTTGTGTTCATGGGAGGAGGTGAGTTCAGGATCCTCCTATGCCTTCATCTTCCAAACTCTGAAAATTTTAAAATAGAATATCCAGCATATGCATAGAATTGTCTTTATAACAGAAAGATTTTTGAAATCAAATAAATGCTTTTTTTGTATATTCCATGTGTGACTATATAAAAATAGACTAAATTGTCTTAAACATGATAGCTTGCTGTTAAGAATTTCATAGTCTATGTAGTTTTTTTTTTTTATTTTTTGTTTATTGCATAGTCTAGCAGAAATATTACAGCAGAGTTACATGTAGTGTCTAAATTGTATAAAATGAAGTAAAGTAAAAATTCCTTAAATCTTCCATAAATGTAACTATGTACATACATTCCTGGGAATGTATAACCATTTACAGTAATGTGTATATATAATATATAATTAATATTCTGATTTTGATATCTATTTTAAGTATAATTTTTCATGAGAAAAATAAATGTGTTATAGTTAGATTCATAAACTTTAACTATTCATATGATATGACTCCAATTTACATCCAAATAAGTGTGCTACCTCCTTTAGTGTATCCACTCTTAGCCAAGAGAAGCAGATTTCCAACATTAGGTACTTCCCTGCATTCACATTCAAAGTTTTGACTCTCCAACTCTCCATTACTTGGAGCAGGCCAAGCACTTGGTCAGGCAGTTTTATGATTGCCATAAAAAGACTATTCCAGCAATCTCCATACTGTCTCTGTCTAGTTCTTTTCTATCTCATGCATAAGACCTTTCTATAGAAATATGTTTTATATTCCTCTTCTCAATTCCTCCCTCCCCAACCTAGTTCCAAGCCTAGATTACCTCTTGCCTAAACTATTATAAAAGTTTCCATATTTTTTCAATTCGCTATAAACATTTAGTCTAATTAACCATCTTAATGTATAAAAATATAGTTCTGACCATACAACTCATCTGCTTAAAAACCTTCAATGGCTTCTCATTTTCTACAGAATTAGATATAAATGTACCCTGGCATTCATGACCTCCACAAAGTGACCCCAACTCCCTTTCTAGTTATAGTTCAACTGACCATTCTCAAGCACACCCTATCCTTTTATTCCACTGTGCTCGTGCCATTCCTTTTCCTTGGGAAGCTCTCTTTTTTATTTCTATCAAAATTCTCCTCATCTTGTAAGGTTCAGCTGAGATATCAATCCTCAAGTTGATGTAATTTTGCCATATCTTGAACTCCTATTGTACTTCATTTATTTTACCTGCCATATGACACTTATCATAGTTTTCTTTGTATTAAACTCATTCATGTACCTGTCTTATCTCTCCCTCTCAGATCATACTTCTTGCCCTCCAGGAAATTATGTTTTACCCATCTTTTTATTTCCTGTAGCGCCTAAAAAAGTGCTTAGTACAGAAGAGATGCCTGATAAATATTTGAACAGAATTCAAATTCCTTACCCTGAAAAGTTACCTTTACTTATTTCAATAACGTTCAATTTGTCAAAAAGTTTTTGAATTTCTCTTACAATTGCTTTAAGGGCCTGTGGGATTACTTTAAATGCTTTCAGTGGTGACAAATCTCCATCATTTGAGGGAAAGTTTGATTTTGGAAAATAGTCAGAATTTATTCTGTGTCACATTTAGTGAATAATATGGATGTTCAATCTGAGCTGTTATATTTTCACTTAAAACAAAGAGAATATGAAGTAATGAGACAGAATTTCTGAGTGAGTCATGAACTGACACTTCAAAAGAAAAGTTCCTAAAATGATTTCAACAATGGTAACATCATTGTAATGACTTTCTAACTTCCTAAGTTTTCTAGTTTGAAACATACAGTACTCACTTGGATGTGTAAGTTTAATATATTTGTTAAATCCATCTTGTCTCCCTGTAGATTCATTTTGCAGCTTTCCAAACCAGGGTGTTAAAGAATGTGTTTGGAATTTAAATGAGAAGTATATTACCCTGCTCATTTGAGAAACTGTATTTTATAGCTTCTGGTGAGCGAGAAACCTTGTCATCACTATTGCACCCAACGAAACTTCCCAAATTTGAGGGAAACATATTTATACAGTACTATGACTCAAAAAAGCCTACAAATTTAGCTACTATGCCTGCTCCTGAGTTTTACCAGAAACCTAACGAACTGAAGAACAGATTTGAAGTAAACAATAGAGGGTAGTTGAATATAGCATTTGAGTATCATCTAACTGGCACCACAGAATTACAAAACAAAAAAGTGAAACAATCTCTTCCCAAATTGCATGGAATTTATAATATTTAAATATTAATGTATAATATACATTTTCTTGGTTACATAAAATTGACTTAAGCAGGAAACTCCATTTTATATTCTCAAAATGTATAATGTCCATGTTTAAAGAAATTCAATTACCATGTTTATTATATGTATCATTTCATTATTTCATAGGAAACTTTTCAGTAGTTACTGGTTTATGGTTTTTTTTGTAATTCATTTGGTTTAACGTATTTTCTCTAGCAACTTCATATAGCGAGTTTTAAATTATCCTCACTAATAGATGGGAATATGTGCCTAGATAATCCAAAATAGTTGGATATCTCTATTTTTTCAATAGTATATTATGTGATTATGTTAGTAGATTTGCTTCCTTCATTGGGGCCAGCAATCAATTTAATTTGCAAATATTATATCATATACAAAGTATTGGTGGAAGAACAAGAAAGTATACATTTTGAGGAATTTTTCCACAGAAATTTTATCACTCTCAGTTCACCATTTAAATAAATCAAATATTCAAACCTCCTCATTACCCTCAAGAATTCTAGTTAATTGCCATTTTACTGTAATTGGATTTTAGCTTGAGTGAAAGTATTCTTAAATTTTTTCCTTAAAAGTATTATTTGGAATTTATGTCATTTTTAGCCTGTCCATAGCATATTGGTATAGTTTGAACTCAAAATAAAACTCAAGTCTAGTTGTCAGGGACAGTAATAATTTATCTGAATTTGAATAATTGAGGATAATACTTTGCAATTTACATTGACTGTTTGATCATCACTCCTTATCAGTAGGCATAATACTGATTCATAGGCCATCACTGAATATAATTTATCAAAAACAATAAATGTTTTATTGAATACCACATTCCCACCACCACCACTTAGCAAGGCTAATTTGACTTGTCAGTCTCTCAGGAGACATGTGTTTGGGAGAAATGGAGAGGGCAAGTGGAGAGCTTGGAGTACTCCCCAATCCTTGTGTGTCTCAGGAAAAGTATGGTTAAGTCCAGGCTAACCGGAGCCACAACTCACAAGACCATCTTGGTATCAGTAAATACACCCCAGAATCTGACTGGAGTAGCACCTATCTCCTTGAGTGGCAATGCTGATATAATAAGGTGTTGCTGGCTATTAGCCTTAGAAGTTTCTACTTAAAAAAGGGACTTGCAGTTATGTAGGATGAATAAGTCTAGAGAGTTAATATACAGCATAATGACTATAGTTAATAATTAAATTATTGTAACTCATTCCACAGAGTGCTGCATTTTTATTATAATAATTTTATTATCCGTAGGTTTACAAGTGATACTTCCAGGCCCTAACAATATCCTAGAAATTTTCATGAATTTCTAGGAGAAATTTGCACCACATCTAAAATTTCCCCATAAAGGAAAGTTCTTTAAATCAGTTGTGTTCAATAAAGAAACAGCATTATCTATATGGGAGATATGCTCTGAATGCAGACCTATCTTGACCTCTTGCATGAATTCTTTGGTATTGATCAACATTCCAAGTAGTATCAATGCATACCTTACTGAGATTCCATTTGTTGTTTCCGCAGATTTCAGGAAACCTTACTGTGCCTTGGATTACAGGGTGTTCTAGAAAAAGAGCAGTAAGTAATCTTTCATTTAAAGAAGCAAATGGGTTTTCCCCTGTGTTGTTAGTAGAAATGCCATTGAGAAAATTGTCATGATATTTGTAAAGTTGGCAAAACTGAAGTTCAATAAGACTACATTATCTCAAAAGACATATTTTGAAATAATATTTGTATATACTACAAAGGTAACCTTAAATAAAATGCAATAATCAGCACTCTATAATCTTTGAACAGGTTATTGAAGTTTTAATTCAAAGCTAATTCATAAACTATCCTAATTTTTCTATTTCTAATTAGCCCAGTGAATTTGATCATATAATTGAATCATGATTAATATAAACATCTCAATCAACATTAAATAATTTACATTACCATTTATTATTAGTGCATTTCAGCGTTTAGAAGTGAAGAGTAATTAATATTTTAACAATCTCATTTTGTTTTTCTGGCTTTCTACTACAACTGTTGTGATTTTTATAATATAAATATAACAGAACTTCATTAAAATTGTGTTTTCTCAAAGAATTTCATTCAGTTGGTCTGTGTAGGACCTATAAATCTGCATTTTTACAAGGACTCCAGAAGATTTTGATGTAACTGGTCCATAGATGGAGAACTATTAAAAGATTTTTACCATAAAAGAGAGACATGAGTTAGACTTTTAGAAAGATAACTCAAGTTACTGTATGGTAGATAGGTTTGGGGATAATAACTGAAGCTAGAACTTTAATACTGGACAGGATTATGTAAACTCTTCCTTCTCTTCCCCACAAAGTAGAACTATAAATGATAGAAGTTATACAGGAGGCCACCAAATTAGAACTCTGAAAGATGGAAAGAAAACAACTGGTTAGGGACTTCAGGACTTGGAGGAACTATAGGGTATTTTGTCCCCCACTTAACAACAGAAAGTGACTCAGGCCAGGCAATTCATGACCCTCAATCTAACAAGAGAAGACATCTAGGGTAGGCTCATTCCTCCTGATGGTAGGATGGGAGTCACACAAACGTCATGAAGTGAGACTGGCAACATTGGCAAAGAAGATCAATTGGAAGCCTCAGTGACAATAAGCAGTCAGGGCAAGTGCTTTCCTTCCCTGCTGGACCTGAACCTCTCCTCCCTTACCTAAAGACACAAGGCAACAATGCCAGGGAAGATACTGCCACAAAAAGCAGCCTGGCCTGGGAAGTCTCTTTGTCTCTGTAGGTCAGAGAATTCTTTTTCCCCACCTAGAGATGCAGATGGATTGGTTAGCACCAACAAGAGTGATCAAGACACCCTAAGTGGCCCAGCCCAGGAAGTGTGCTATTTATCCCTGGGGGATGGAGAATCTGTTTTAGCACCTAGAGACACTGGTCTGGCTGTGTGCCACCAACAGGAGGGATCTCCTCACAATAATTGCCTGCGTTGAAGAATGTCCTTCTGTTCCCTCAGGTGGCAGCAGTAGGGATCAGTGGAAGCCCGAGTGGAACCAGATAAATCAAGCAAATTAAAATAACAACAAAAATGGTCTGAAAATTAAAGTATTATTGGAACCACAACTCATAAAAGTAGGCCAGGATTTGTGTGCTAAACAAAACAGGTGATGGTCTGATAAAATAAAAAGATCTAAATAAGACCAGAAATCTCCTAACATAGTGGCCAAAGTTTCCAGGATACAGTCAAAAGTCACCCATCATACCAAGAACCAGGAAAATCACAGCTTGAATGATAACAGACAATCAACTGACATGAACGCTGAAATGAATTAGATATCTGGATTATCTAAAAAGGATTTTAGATCATCCATTATAAAAATGCTTCAAGAAGCAATTACAAATTATCTTGAAACCAATGAAAAAATAGAAAATCTCAAGAAAGCAATCAATGTTATAAAAGAATCAAATGAGAATTATAGAACTGAAAACTACAATAACTGAAATGAAAAAGTTGCTGAATGGCTCAATATTTGAGTGGTGATAAAAGAAGATAGAATCAATGAACTTAAGGAGAGATTGATAGAATTTACCTAGTTGGAACAATAAAGAGAAAATAGACTGAAAAATAATAAACAGAGCCTCAGAATCCTGTGGGGCAATAACAAAAGATTCAATATTTGTACCACTGGAGTTCCACAAGAAAAGGAGAAAAAGAATGGGACTGAAAGAATATTCAAAGATATAATGGCTGAAAACTTCCCAAATTTGGAAAAAATAACATGAGCCTACAGAGTCAGGAAGCTGAGTGATCTCCAAGAAGGTAAATGTAAAGAAATCCACAACAGACACGTCATAATTAAACTTCTGAAAACTAAAGATGAAGAAAATTCTTTTTTTTTTTTAAAGATTTTATTTATTTATTTTCCCCCCAAAGCCCCAGTAGATAGTTGTATGTCATAGGTGCACATCCTTCTAGTTGCTGTATGTGGGACGCGGCCTCAGCATGGCCAGAGAAGCGGTGCGCCGGTGCACGCCGGGGATCCGAACCCGGCCCGCCAGCAGCAGAGCGCGCGCACTTAACCGCTAAGCCACGGGGCCGGCCCGAAGAAAATTCTTGAATGCAGCCAGAGAGAAATGATGCATTATCTATAGGAGGACACCAATTCAAATGACAATAGATTTCTCATCTGAAACCCTGGAGGCCAGAAGGCAAACATTTTCCACATGTTGAAAAATGACTGTCAACTGATCATTCTGTGTTTGGCAAAACTATCCTTTAGGAATGAAAAAAAAATAAAGACATTCTCAGATGAAAGAAAACTAAAAGAATTTGTTGATAGCAGACCTACTCTAAAAGAATGGCTAAAGGAAGTTTTTCATGCAAAAAGAAAATGATAGAAGAAGGAATCTTGGGGCACCAGGAAGGAATAAATAACAAGAGAAAGAGCAGAAATATGCCTATCTTATTCCTCATGGATTTTCTACATCATATTTGATGATTGAAATGAAGGTTATAGCACTATCTGTCTGATACTCAAGAAAATGATACTTAAAACTTGGGAAAGTAAAAGCATCTAAACAGAAGCAAGGTTGTCAAACTTCACTAGAAGTGGTAAAATACTGATACCAGTACACTATGACAAGTCATATTATGTGTCTTATAATAGCCAGAACAACCACTACAAAAACTGTACAAAATGATACACTCAAAAACACATAAGATAAACCAAACCGGAATCCTAAAAATGTTCAAATAACACATACGAAAGCCAAAAAATCAGAAACACAAGAATGCAAAACAGAGGAAACAGAAAAAAAATAATAAAATGACAGATGTATGCCATAACATATCAATAATTATGTTAAATATAAATATACCAAGTAAAAGATAGATATTGGCAAAGTGGATAAAAAAACAGCAACTCAATTTCATGCTGTTTATAAGAAACTCACATCAAATTCAGTAGCATAGGTAGGTTGAAAGTTAAAAGATAGGGAAAAATATATGATGCAAACATTAATTGTAAAAAGCGGGAGTGAATGACTATGTTAATATTGGATAAAATAAACTTTAGAACAAAGAAAATTACTAGAGACAAATAGAGCATTACATAATGTAAAGTGATCAATCCACCAGGAAGACATAACAATCCTAAAAGTGTACACGTGAAGCAGCAGAGCTTCAAAATACATGAAGCAAAAACTGATAGAGCAGAAAGGAGAAATAGACAAATCTACAATTATAGATGGAGACTTGAACACCCTCTTCTCAGAAACTGATAAAACTACTAGACAGAAATTAAATAAAGACAAAGAAGATTTGAACAACACAATCAACCAACAAGATCTAATCAAAATATATAAGACCTCAGCATCATGATGAGTAAGTTGTTCCCTTTGTTTCTCCACTCTAAGTTACAAGCAATCAGACACCCATTGATCAATAAAGGACTCCCTACACAGCACAACAAAATGCCTGAGAGATCCATGCATCTATACATCTGAATGCGAGTGGACTAGACATCCAAGAAGCAGTGGAACTAGGGGAAGAGCCCTCTCCCCATTCCCAGCAGTGGCGATCAAAAATGCAGATTCTCACAGTGGTGCAGGTATCTGCAAACAGAGGATGCAGGGGCAGACATGGCACTTGCAGCTTACCCTCCCCTCCCCCCAGCAGTGGCAGGTGGTACACATGTCCAGAGGATTCAGGACACAGAGTAGAACCACTGACCCAATCCGCCCTAACTCATCTGGCAGTGGCCTGGATTTCCCAACAGTGGGGACAGTATTCAAAAAGTGGATTTTGCCAGTTGTTGCAGGGCACCTTGACCTAAGTTTTCAAAACACACTGGCTACTGCCAGTGACCAGAGGCTGCACAAGTGAGCAAAAATGACACAGCCAGCTTAGCCCCCTGCCCATCTTAAGTGGTGGCTGGTGAAATCTTAGAACTGAGGCTTAAGGAACCACAGCAAAACCCATGATCCAGCCCCCAGCGGTAGCACCCCCAACACTGGCTCTACCATCACCAGGGGCTTCATACAAGTCCCTGGGTCTGTGGGCCCCCAGCAGTGACAGCAATACCCATGAACCCAGTGCTGCTGGCAGCAGTGCTGCCAGCACCCCCAGATAACCCAGGAGCAGCAGTACAGGTGGTGTATGGGGTGGCAGCATCTGAGCCAATGGAGAGCCTGTAGAGAGCCACTGGGGAACATGAGACCCAGGCGACCCTGGAATCAGCAAAAGTCCTCACAGCCTGGTGACCCCAGTGGTGACACTTGAGACTGCAGTGACATCACAAGCAGCAAGACACCATCAACCCGAGAGGCACAAGCACCACAAGGAGGGCATGGATTACACCTATAGCAGAGGCAGTGGAGGGTGGAAAGGAAAGACTCTCAAATACAACCAGAAGCAGCTCAGAACCAAACTAACCAAAGCCTTACCTAAACAAGAAAGATTATTAATACTGCAAATGTTCGGGCAATGGATCAACTTGTCCAGTAACATGAAGAACTACAATAACACAGCAGAACAGAAAGAAAATGACAACTCTCTAGAAACCAAAATTGAATTCACAGAAGATTACAATCTAACT